CATCAAAGGCAGGGAGACATCAGTTTGAGAAACTAACAGTGGCTGGCAGATCCCTACCATTGACTATGTCAACTGATGATGAAGAAAGTAATGAGACAGGTCTTTTTTTTTTTTAATTTGATTTATATGCCGCCCTTCTCCGGAGACTCAGGGCGGCTTACAATGCGTTAAGCCTTCATACTTTTGTATATTTATACAAAGTCAGCTTATTGCCCCCACAAACTGGGTCCTCAATTTACCTACCTTAGAAAGGATGGAAGGCTGAGTCAACCTTGAGCCTTGGCGAAATTCGAACCTGCAGTAATTGCAGACAGCTGGTGTTAATCACAATGCTATCAGTCTGCTGAGCCACCAGGCCCAGTCAGGTCTTGTCAGGAGAAGTGGGAAATAATGGATATCAGAGGATAACTTTAGGCTTAGTTATTAGCTGGGATGAGACAAAGATCATACACGACGACATTGCATTAAAAAAAGCAGTTACAGGTAGTCCTCGACTTACGACCACAATTGAGCTCAAAATTTCTATTATGAGGTGAGATATTTGTTAAGCGAATTTTGTCCCACTTTACAACCTTTCTCATTACAGTTGTTAAGTGAATCACTGCAGTTGTTAAGTTTGTAACAGTTGTTAAGTGAATCTGGCTTTCCCATTGATTTTGCTTGTTGAAAGGTTGCAAAAGGCAATCACATGACATTGGGACACAGCAATAGTCATAAGTACAAACCATTTGCCAAGCATCTGAATTTTGATCAAATGATCATGGGATGCTACAAAGGTTGTAAATGTAAAAAATGGTCATAAGTCACTTTTTTCAGTGACTCCATTGTAACTTTGAACAGTCACTAAATGAATTGTTGTAAGTTGAGGACCACCTGTACTATATTCATTAGGGGAAACTAATGAAGACTCCTATATGAACCCATACTTGCCTGGTATTTAAACTTGAAGGATTTCTAATTTCTAGATCAAAGGAATAGTAATTCTTTGAATTCTGTGCAAGATCAGTAAAATCTTGCCAATCTCAGTCAAGTAGAATTTTTCCATTCTGTGTCAGCTCCACCCTCATGCTTTGCAATTGTCTTTTTGGTGACAGAAAAATAACTCTTCAAACTTTTCATTTCAATCTTTTTTTTTAATGGGGCGCAGGGGAGTGTCAGCTCCCCAAACCTTGCAAGTGGCATTTTCACTCCAGGATCAAATGCAGCCAGGTTAGAAGGGAGGTGGATCCCAAAGTACAATGACAGATTATGCGAATCCTGCAGAAATGGCTAATCAATCACCAGGCGGGGTGTGAGCAGAATCTAATTGATCTCTGAGCTCGCTTTGGAAATTCCTTCTAAACAATGCTTATCAAAGGTGTCTGGATCAGGACACACAAGCCCAGGCGGGAGTAGGACTAATGCATGCACTGAATCCAGGAGCCAGAATTCTGCCAATGAGAACACTGCCATCCACAAACTTTACACAACTACAGTATTACAAAAGGAAAAACAAAAATCACTTTGCTTTGGTTTCAAAAAACTGGTACAGAGCTGGAAATAAGTGGATTCAATTCCTGTAACCAGCTGCTGCTGTATATTTGAATTTCTAAATTAAAAAACATTCAGATAGACTAAGCTATGATTAATCTCTTTCCTTATTTTTCTACTTAGCTTGTTTTTCATTTCTTCGCTATCTTTTTTGCAAGTTATGCCCTTTGTGCTTTTTATTTGTTTTCCTTTTTTAATCTTATTTTTAATCTGTTACCATTAGATTAAGTCAAATTAGGTTAATTATTGCTAGATTCTTCAGCACCTGGAGACTTGAAAGGTTTTCTTTTGTCCTCTTTTACTTTATTAGTAAAGTCCTTAGCTGGAAAGGGGTTATCTGCTACCTGTCTGTATAGTTTCTTTCGCTGATAATAAATAAATTAAACAAATTAACAAATTTAGAAATGATTAGTAAATACTTGGATAGGAGATGCCCACGAAAGAATAGACTGTAGATTAGACTGGGAATTAAAGAAAGAAAATCTCAGAGGGCAATGGCAAACTATTTCTGTATGGTTGCCAAGACTATCCAGAAAGGCAGCTCTTTGTCATGTTAAACTTTGGTTCAGAAACAAAGTTATAGTATTTTATTGGTAAAAATCCAAAGCCTAACTTGCTGATGAATGTACTGGAGATCTAGCATAAAATTTGCAAAACCTGAATTACAGATGGTGCTTAGAAATTAAAGTACCTACTATATTGCCAAGAAAATATTGCAGAAGAAAACATTATAAAATATTTACAAGAGAGAAATTTGCCAGATGTACTAGAGGAAGATAGGGAAATGTTGAACGACAAAATTACTTTAATAGAGTTGAAAGAGGCAATCAAAAAACAAAAAAATAATAAAACCCCAGGGCCAGATGGAATTTCAACAGAATTATATAAAACGTTTCAAGAATCTTTAGAAGAAATTATGTTGGAAATATATAATGAGGTATTGGAGAGAGCTAAAATGCCAAACTCATGGATGGAGGCATGGATAACATTAATCCCAAAAGAAAATTCAGAAACCAACACATCCAAAATTATAGGCCAATCTTGCTGTTAAATGCTGAATACAAAATTTTGGCAACAATAATGGCAGAAAGACTAAAAATAATCCTAAACAAAATTATTCATTCGGAACAAAATGGGTTTTTTCCCAAATGACAAATTAAAAACAATACAAGAATTATAATGAATATATTAGAGTATTATGAGGCCCATCCCACCCAATTGGCATTAATATTGGTGGATGCACAGAAGGCGTTCGACAACTTGAATTGGCATTTTTTAACTAGTAAATTAATTGGGATGAAATTTGGCAAAAATTTATAGAAATGATTAAGGTTCAAACCAAACTGCAAGAATTATGTAAATGGAGACCTAACGGAAAAAGTCAATATAAATAAAGGGGTTAGGCAAGGATGTCCATTATCTCCGCTCTTATTCATTCTTTCATTAGAAGTTTTATTGACTCAGATAAGGGGAAATAAGGAAATAAAAGGCTTAAAAATTTAAAAAGAAGAATATAAAACACAGGCCTTTGCGGATGATATGGTGTTCATAATAGAGGATCCTTTGGAAATGGGAGAAGTGCTACTACAGGAAATAGAGAAATTTGGCATAGTTGCGGGCTTAAAAATAAACAAAAATAAAACAAAGATACTCACTAAAAATCTTACAAAAGGCCAAAATAAGAAATTAGAGGAGAAATTAGGAATTCAAATTGTAAAAAAAGTAAAGTATTTGGATATTTGGAAAAGGGCAAGAATATCTTCAATAAAGGAAGATAATTATTTGAAACTACTGCTGCAAATTCAAAAAGATTTAGCGAGTTGGGCGAAATTAAAAATATCATTGATTGGAAGAATTGCTACTATAAAGATGAATATTCTACCAAAAATTTTATATTTATTTATCTAACGGTACCTATAAAATTGGGGGAAAGCTTTTTCGAAAAATTGAATAAAATTATTAGTAAGTTCATATGGTTGGGGAAAAGGCCCAGAATTAAATTAAAACACTTACAAGATTCTAGAACTAAGGGTGGCTTTGGCCTCCCAGACTGAGAACTTTACCATCAGGCTGCAGTAATATCATGGCTCAAAGAATGGATAAATTTAAAAAATGGAAGAATACTAATGATTCGCATGCACGATTTACAGAGGGGTTGGCACGCCTTTATTTGGGAGGGAAAGAGCAAAGCCCACACATTTTCAAAGACATCAGGTAAGAGAAGTATAGTTAGAAATCTGGATGAAGATTAAAATAAATTTTTACACAAAAGTTCCAAGATGGTTATCGACGATGGAAGCTTTGGTATACCCCAATTTAATTGACTTAAACAAAATAGTAACCTATAAAGAGTTGTTAGATGGACAAGGAAATTTGAAATCCAAACAAGAATTATTAGAGGAAGGAATCAAAATAGATTGGTGGCCTTATTTATAGACCCAAACAAAATATAAAAAAGACTTAGAATTATATGGATTTCAAAATGGACAACAAGAAATGAATAAAATATTAACAGGGACAGATGAAAAGATAATTACCAAAACGTATAACTGTCTCCTCAAATTTAAAATGGAAGAGGAAACGGTGAAGGAAACAATGATAATTTGGATGAAAATTTTTGGATACAACATAGAATTGGAGTACTGGGGAAAAAAATGGGGAACAAATTATAAAATGACATTGTCGGCTGCCTATAAAGAAAATATTTATAAAATGTTCTATAGGTGGCATTTACCCCCGGTGAGATTGGCCAAGATGTCTCCAAACAATCCACTGCACTGTTGGAAATGTAATAATTCACAAGGGACATACTACCACATGTGGTGGACATGTCCCAAAGCAAGAGACTATTGGTTAAAAATCAAAAAATGATTGGAGGAAATGACTGGGGAAAAAATTAATATGAAACCTGAATTATAAAGGGATTATAAAAGAAAAAATGAGTAAAGAAATTCAATACCTCATACTCCACATAATTACGGCCGCCAAAATTTAATTTGCCCAAAACTGGAAACAACAATATGTTCCAACAAACACGATGATTATAAAAAAGGTGCTGGAGTGTGCAGAATCAGATAAACTAATGATGGAACTTAAGGGACAGAGAGGAAATGATTTATTATTAAACATGGAACAGATGGTATGATTGGCTGGAAAAATGAATGTAAAATTAATGGCTAGTGTATAGCAAAAGAGAAGATATTATAATGGAATGTTATATTTAATGTGTAGTAGGTATGTATATAAAATGTATTGATTATATGAATAAGTATATAACAAACAAAATGTATATGTATATAGTTGGCTGAAAGATAAATTGGACATTACTAAAAATGCCGGTATTGGAAAGCTGTAAAAGTGTAACTAAGATTTAAAGATGTAAATGTTGAATAAAAACATTTAAAAAAAAAAAGAAATTAAAGTACCTGAGACTCAAAATGATGATTCTCATTTTATCACATCATGCCTAGATCTAACTGCATTTGATGGCACTAAAGATACCAGCACTGAGTTTACAGATAGCATTGAAGAGGAAGTACAGCATGGCTCTCATCTACAGGTAAATCCTCACAGCATTCAAAGTGGGATATCTGCAATGGTGGTAAGGACAATGATGGTGTGAGCTATGCAAATGCTGAAAGTTTGGGGAACAGGGTGAACTTGAATTATTAGTACATAAGGGTAAATATGATATTGTTGCAATTACTGAAACTTGGTGGGATAAAACCCATGACTGGAACGTAGTGATAGAAGGATACTGTCAGATCCCATAGATCCCTATTGGATGCTGCCATTCTTGTGGGGGAGGCGGGCTGGATGTGTTCTTTAGTTTATAGCCTTTTTCCTGATGTCTATGTATCCTGTGCTTTGATTTACCTTCTGGGGAATGTAAAGGAGGAGGCCATCTATTTTGTCTCAGCTCTGAAGCCTTCAGCCTGGGAACAGCTTCTTATCACTTTCTCAGCCTGCGCTTCTCACAACAACTTCCCACCTGTGGATTGGCTCATTCAACATCGGACTGAGGGGAGGGGTTTCTAACTGCTTTATCCTAACTGAATTGTCTGGGAACTTTAGATCCTACTTTCTTTTGTCCTGCAATCACTCTCCTTCAATAAAAGGTTCCTTTTGAAATGCTGATGTTTCAAGACTCTTTAATTTCTTGAATAGAGAGGAGAGGCAGACTTTTACATAAAGCAGGATCTGCAAAAGTGATCAACTCGGAGAAGCAACTCGCTCTACCAAAGGGACCCTGCAAGCCATGTCCAAGCAAAGTGGCAAGCAAGGAGAGGGAGAATACTGGAGTGAAACCTCCACTACCACCCAGCCAGATGCAAGCTCCGTGTGCCCCATCGAAGACATTGAGGTGGTTTTGGAAGAGTCCACAAAGCCAACATGGTTGATTGGAGTGGGGAAGAAAGACAGCTAGGATGGGAGAACCAAAGGCGTCACCCTCACCCATGGCAGCTGGCAAACAGGCTGGAAATGTGAGCTGGAAACCCTGTCAGACCAGAAAGAACTGACCAAGGAACTGGCTGGATGCGATTGGCTCAAAAGACTTGCATTGTGATTTGTGATAGAGGCTTTTCAGAATCTAAGAGCCACGGGGGAACTGGGAGAGAGAGGAGGCGAGATGGCAGCAGCAGCCGATGGAGTCAGAGCCGCCACCCCGGATCTGACAGCCACAGATCAGCTGGACAGTGTGGCGGGAGCAGCAGCCATCCCGGCAAACCCACCCCACGCAGCGCCAGCTCTTGCGAACATCCCTGGCCAGCCCAGAGCTCCGCAGCTGGAAAGGAACCACCACCACCACGGGAGTGAAGTACGATGGCAACCCTCAGCAGTTGGGGTTTTTCCTGGCACATGTCCTCACATACATGCAAGAATACAGGAGGGAATTCCAAACCCAGATCACCCGAGTTCAAGTCATCACCCTAGCCCTGGAAGGGGTGACTGCCCACTGGATACTGACCCTCCACAATGCTGATGCCCCTGAATTGCGGAATTTTGACCATTTCATGATGACTCTCTGACATCGTATCAAGGACCCTCTGGCAGACCAAAAAGCCCACAACCACATCAGAACCATGAAGCAAGGCCGCCCGCTGGTAGCTAAGTACACTGAAGAATTCTGAGACCTCGCTTGCCAAGTAGACTGGCTGGAGGACATCCTGGTGAGGTGGTTTAAGAATGGGCTGAATGATGACCTCTACCACGCCTACCTAGCCCAAGGGGCCCCAAACAGCCTTCACGACTGGTATATCCTGACCGAAGAAGTAGAAATCGACCTAACCAGAAACCAGTATTGAGCGGGAAGAGCCTGGAAGAGATCCTCTCCCTAGGGGAAGTGAGAGCCATCCAAACCTCAAACCGCTCCTGCACAGCGATCATCTGCCTTTTTCAAGTGCAGGAAGGAAGGGCACACACACCCAATGCTGCTCAAAAACCCAGTACTCTTCAATATCTTCATAAATGACTTAGATGAGGGAATAGAAGGGGAACTGATCAAATTTGCAGATGATACTAAACTGGCAGGAATAGCCAACACTCTAGGGGGCGGTGCTCATCTCTGTTTCAAAGCCGAAGAGCAAGTGCTGTCCAAGGACATCTCCGTGGTCATGTGGCCAGTATGACTAAACACCAAAGGCGCATGGAACACTGTTACCTTCCCACCAAAGGTGGTCCCTATTTTTCTACTTGCATTTTTTATGTGCTTTTGAACTGCTAGGTTAGCAGAAGCTGGGACAAGTAATGGGAGCTCATCCTGTTATGCGGCACTAGGGATGTTACACATAGATGTTACATATAGTTACATACAGATGTTACATATTTCATAAGCAAAAAAAAAAAAAACACCAAAAGAATACCTACAGATTAGGTGAAATCTGGCTTAATAGCAGCAACTGTGAGTGGGATCATGGAGTCCTAGTGGACAATCAATTAAATATGAGTCAGCAGTGTGCAATCAAAAAAGCCAATGCAGTCCTAAATTGCATTAACAGAAGGATTGAATCAAGATCACGCGAGGTACTAATACCACTCTATAAAGCTTAGTAAGGCCACAGCTAGAATACTGCATCCAGTTTTGGTCACCACAGTCTAAAAAGATGGTGAGACTCTACAAAGAATGCAGAGAAGAGCAACAAAGGGGCCTGGAGGCTAAAATATATGAAGAACCGTTGCAAGATTGCAAGAACTGGGCATAATTAGTCTAGTGAAGAGAAGGATCAGGGGTAACATGATAGCAGTGTTCCAATATTTGAGGGGCTGCCACAGAGAGAAGTGGGACAACCTATTCTCCAAAGCACCTGAAGAGTAGACAAGGAACAATGAATGGAAACTGATCAAGGAGCAATTCAACCTAGAAATAAGGAATATTTTTCTGACAATGAGAACAATCAACCAATGGAACAGCTTGCCTTCAGAAGTTGTGGGTGATTCATCACTGAAGGTTTTCAAGAAGAGACTTTCTGAAGTTGGATCAGACTGGTAACTTTTCCAGGAATCCGACTCCTTGGGCTAAGTGCCCAACCTTCGTGTTGCCTCTGCAGCTTCAATGGCTTGCACCGTTTCTTCAGAAGGAGAATACCGGGTCTCAATAAATCCTCCGGTATCTGCCTCCACGGCTCCCTCTGTGATCTCCTCTTCCTTCTCCATCTTCGCTGAGTCTTCACACCACCTGAGGTTAAGGTTGATGCTGGGGCTCAGCACCCCAGACAGCCCCCTTTCAGGGTGCCATTATTCATTTTAGAGATTCAGGTTAATGTCAGTATTCCAGAAAGTCCCCAACTCTAAGTAAAAACTCCAAGGCAGGCATTTCTGAAACTTGCATTTATTAGAGAAGGTAAACTGGCACATCTGGGAAAACCTGAATCTGAGAGTTCCAGGTTTCCCTTTGTAAATCAAAACCCCAAATCCAGCCCCTGCACCCATCACTCTGTCACATGGCCCAATCACCATCCATCCCAACTAGAGCCATCCCTGCAACCACTCCTCCTCTAGATGCATAAACACCATGACCTTGACCGAAGGGAAGAATGCTATTATGTCTAACTACAAACACTCCTCTAAATCCCCCCCCACCTTCCCAAGTGCAAGAAGTTGGCAGCAGGGAAGCATCTGGTGCTAATATGGCTTCCAAAGCTGACACCGAGTACTGGAACTGGGTGAGACTACTTTCAATTTCTACTATAGAGACCTATCCCAAATAAGAGGATTTTTTAAAAAGAAAGACTCTCCAAAACATAGAAAAAGTGGTGAGTTAATACACAGAGATTGACTACAGACCCAAAAGAGAAATTAAATTTTAATGGGAGTGTCAGGTTCCAAAAAGGAAGGAAAGAATCCAAACTCAAAACTGCTTTGTTACTTCTTGTTTTACTCCCCTTCTGGCACAAACTGACAATCACAAACTCAAAGGAATATCTTGTTAGGGCTACTTGCCCGTGCTCCCCACCACCTTTTAAACACTGAGCACCACCCCACCCACTGACATGTGCAGCTGCCTCCCACGTGTTCTGGAATTGAGAGGAAATCACCATCTGCCTGCCTTCAGGCCCATCCTCCTCAGCGCTCTACCCAATGAAGTCCTTAAGGGAGAACTGGTCCTCAACTGAGTGGCCAGTCCTCAACAGAGGTCCAGGACAGCCAAGGAGAGCGACAGCTGCCTCCCAGCTGCTGCTGCACCATCCTTGATTATGTCATCAATGTGCAACCGCCTCTCAGCTATTCAGTGGCTGCACAGCCTGCTCCCAGCATGTGCATGGCCAGCTGGCTCATCCCGGTGTTGCCGCTGTGTCTCCACTGCCTGGAGAGATGAGTCCTGGCTTGGTGGCGAGACTGGCGGCTCTCGATGGGGTGGGCAGCATTGGCTGGTGGCATCTAGACTGGCGGGTGGCGGGTGTCTTCAGGGTAGCAGCTCCCTGTCAAATGGCAGCTCCAGGCCGGCTGGCATGCCGGAGCTGACATGCGGGCCCCCCTACTACAGGGACAGCGTCTGGAATGTAAAGAACATGGTGAGTAGACAAAGGCGGAGAAACAGTCCTGCCCGGCTTCACAGGATATTTCCGATGGAACCTAGCAACCAGACGGGGGGGCTTGTACATCCCTATTGTGTACGTATGATGCTTCAGAGAGGGGATATCCCTTCCACAGGATGAAGTACTGCAGCCTTCCCCTGTGCCACCAGGTGTCTAGTACCTCTTTCACTTCATAGTGTTGGTCACCATCCACCATGAGGGGTGGGGGTGGCCAAGGGGTTGGTCCCCTGAGGGGGGAGGAGTGGACCAGACAGAGTAGACTGCAGTGGAAAACAAGGTGTCTTTTCCCCAGCAGTTGAGGTAGTTGGACCTGCCCGTAACGGGATTAATCACCTTCACTATGGGGAAAGGGCAAATGTACTTCGAACCTAATTTTTTATATGGGAGCTTTTCAAGTATTTGGTGGAAAGAAATACCCACATAGAAAGGGGCCTGGGGCCTCCGGGTTTTGTTGGCTTGCCACTTATATTTTTTGGCTGCGTGCCACAAAGCCTCTGTGACTGTTTTCCACACCTGTTGCATT